ACTGCTCTCTGTTCGCTACGCTGTTCACTGCTCCCTGTTCCCTGCGCTGTTCACTGCTCCCTGTTCCCTTCGCTGTTCACTGCTCCCTGTTCCCTACGCTGTTCACTGCTCCCTGTTCCCTGCGCAGTTCACTGCTCCCTGTTCCCTGCGCTGTTCACTGCTCCCTGTTCCCTGCGCTGTTCACTGCTCCCTGTTCCCTTCGCTGTTCACTGCTCTCTGTTCGCTTCGCTGTTCACTGCTCCCTGTTCCCTTCGCTGTTCACTGCTCTCTGTTCGCTTCGCTGTTCACTGCTCCCTGTTCCCTACGCTGTTCACTGCTCCCTGTTCCCTGCGCAGTTCACTGCTCTCTGTTCCCTGCGCTGTTCACTGCTCCCTGTTCCCTACGCTGTTCACTGCTCCCTGTTCCCTGCGCTGTTCACTGCTCCCTGTTCCCTGCGCTGTTCACTGCTCCCTGTTCCCTGCGCTGTTCACTGCTCCCTGTTCCCTTCGCTGTTCACTGCTCCCTGTTCCCTACGCTGTTCACTGCTCCCTGTTCCCTGCGCAGTTCACTGCTCCCTGTTCCCTGCGCAGTTCACTGCTCTCTGTTCGCTTCGCTGTTCACTGCTCCCTGTTCCCTGCGCAGTTCACTGCTCCCTGTTCCCTACGCAGTTCACTGATCTCTGTTCCCTGCGCTGTTCACTGCTCCCTGTTCCCTGCGCTGTTCACTGCTCCCTGTTCCCTTCGCTGTTCACTGCTCCCTGTTCCCTGCGCTGTTCACTGCTCCCTGTTCCCTTCGCTGTTCACTGCTCTCTGTTCCCTACGCAGTTCACTGCTCCCTGTTCCCTGCGCAGTTCACTGTTCCCTGCGCTGTTCACTGCTCTCTGTTCCCTACGCAGTTCACTGCTCCCTGTTCCCTGCGCAGTTCACTGCTCCCTGTTCCCTGCGCTGTTCACTGCTCCCTGTTCCCTATGCAGTTCACTGCTCCCTGTTCCCTACGCAGTTCACTGCTCCCTGTTCCCTGCGCTGTTCACTGCTCTCTGTTCCCTACGCAGTTCACTGCTCCCTGTTCCCTATGCAGTTCACTGCTCCCTGTTCCCTGCGCAGTTCACTGCTCCCTGTTCCCTGCGCTGTTCACTGCTCCCTGTTCCCTACGCAGTTCACTGCTCCCTGTTCCCTGCGCTGTTCACTGCTCCCTGTTCCCTGCGCTGTTCACTGCTCCCTGTTCCCTACGCAGTTCACTGCTCCCTGTTCCCTACGCAGTTCACTGCTCCCTGTTCCCTGCGCTGTTCACTGCTCCCTGTTCCCTATGCAGTTCACTGCTCCCTGTTCCCTGCGCAGTTCACTGCTCCCTGTTCCCTGCGCTGTTCACTGCTCCCTGTTCCCTACGCAGTTCACTGCTCCCTGTTCCCTGCGCTGTTTACTGCTCCCTGTTCCCTATGCAGTTCACTACTCCCTGTTCCCTACGCAGTTCTCTGCTCCCTGTTCCCTATGCAGTTCACTGCTCCCTGTTCCCTACGCAGTTCACTGCTCCCTGTTCCCTGCGCTGTTCACTGCTCCCTGTTCCCTATGCAGTTCACTGCTCCCTGTTCCCTGCGCTGTTCACTGCTCCCTGTTCCCTATGCAGTTCACTGCTCCCTGTTCCCTATGCAGTTCACTGCTCCCTGTTCCCTGCGCTGTTCACTGCTCCCTGTTCCCTATGCAGTTCACTGCTCCCTGTTCCCTACGCAGTTCACTGCTCCCTGTTCCCTGCGCTGTTCACTGCTCCCTGTTCCCTACGTAGTTCACTGCTCCCTGTTCCCTATGCAGTTGGGAAGTAATTTAATAGTAGTAATCTAATGTTTATATTTTAAAGCACTGAATCGCTATCAAATCGCGATGAATTCGATTGTTAGGATTTTTAATTGATTATTGATTGTCTGTTGTGATGCTTAATATGAAAATAAATATCATTTGTCAAATCTAATATAACCAAATTGCGTTTATTTACGCATACTAATATTATACCGTGCTCATGTAGTGAGCACTGCGTAGGGACCCTGTCAATGCAGCTCAGTTCATGAATCTCTCTCCTTAAACAAAGTCGGCTATTTCTTAAATGAACTTCAACAGTTGGGGAATAGATTGCATGTGTAACAGTACATTGGATCCGTGCATCAGCTCTTAAAGTGGAAGCAGCCCAATAAACTGCTGCAGTGTGTCATTAATGTTAACATCGAAAGAAAGAAAATTACTCGCTGCTCTTTAGTAGAGTTAGTAGGATTACTCTATATTTAAATAATACATCGAAGACTATACAGTATTGTTTTACATTTGTTTTTGTTATTATTTTTATTGTATTATTTAATATAAAAATATACAAAATAACACAAAGTGAAAAAGTGCCATTTTGGGGTTATGGAAACAACAGTTAACACGGTGAATACACAATACTAACATGAACTGTTAATGTTACATGGAAACTGCTCTTGATAATTATAATGAACATCATACCTTCATACAAATCCTTTCCAGCTAACACGCGACGTACCAAAGTAGATTTATTTGTACTTTTATTTTGAGATTTACTAAATTTGACAACACTCTTTTGCACTTTATAAATAGTGAAGATATACAGCGCGTGCCGCTGCATTTGTGCATGCAATTGAAGTGCGCTCTACGAGCACAGTATAGCGGCTGACAGGACAGGAAAGTTCCTTTTCTGTGTGAGAGACTTTTTACTTCCTAACGAAAATAACGTTATAATAATGACACTCACATATAGCCTGACAACATTTCATCCGACCGAAGTTTTTTGATCTGACGGAAGTGACCCCCTCAGAAGGGTCTTGCAACCCACCAGTTGAGAAACACTGCTTTAAGCTATTCCTAATCATCACTAATAGAGTGAATGGAATATGTTGCACATGTTGCCAAAAAATAGTTGTCAGTTTATGATACTTTCTTATCTGTTGATTTTAATACTTAACATAGGCCTACATTGCTGTTAAAGCTGCAGTCCGTATCTTTTCCTCTTTGTCGCCATCTCTCTGTTCGAAATCTGTAACTGCAGTGATTCGCGGAATTATCATCTTTACGTGGGTTGTAAATCGGCATGAAACAGCGCGGATGAACACAGTGCTTTGAGGCGAGTGCTGCTGTCAGTCACCGCGCTGTGTGGATACTGTCATACAGAATCAGAGATTCACTTTTTGAAAGTTTGACCAACATAAGAATTTTCATTAGAAAATGTCTTCTGAACAAGTAAGTAACATCCATTTTTGTTCTGACCAACTAAGGGGGAAAAAGCATTCGACATGATAAACTTTGTTAGATTTAATCAACGCGATTTACAGCAACCGTGCAAATTATAGCCTACTTTGTTCTCAAATTGTTCATGTTAACAACATCACATCAGCATTGCGTGACTAATGTTAAATTTAATAGTGTTTTATGGTTACCTGTGTAGTTCAGAATTCATATTCTCCATAATAGCAAAACGAGAAAGGCACAACAAAGGAAACTCCATAACTGTGAATTAAGAAAACGTACTGTTACACGATTGAACTATTGAAATGTCTTACTTGTTCAGCAGAAAAAAGCCGTCTCTTCTTCCGTTTCGAACCCCTTCAAAACACGGAGTTCACGCATTTTTCAAAAGCCCCGCCGATGTTTAAATCCTTGTGTTCACATGAGACGGTTTCTTTCTCTTTCTCTAGCCACCTTAAATCCGAAGTACGAAGTCTTTTGGGTTTTATAACTGCTGAATCTCCAGTTGACACTGATGATTGTTGTTTGGATCTTTCTGGATGCCATAAGTTTAATTATGTAAAGTGCTGCGAGAAAAGCCTATACATCTAAACATCTCGTCACGCGCAGTATAGCCGGCTAGCCGAAACTCCTTCTTTATGTGTACGGGTGTGACGTCATGACGCGAAGACATGCTCAAATTTCCCGCGGAAACCCACCAGTACCACTGGAATTAAAATCATTATTACAAGCTAACCGTTTTGAATCTAGCTATGGCAAGCAGATAGTTTTGACCACTGGCAGAATAAGTTTTTTTTAATATAATTATTTTGGATTATTTTTAACTTAAAAAAGTTACGGACTGGAGCTTTAAGAATAGCTAAAATACCCCCTTGAGTCTGTTTACAGCCTTCTATTTGTCATGTTGTATTATTTATTTTGGCCATCGGTATTGGTGATGGGTAACGGCCGATACTTGTTTCAGTGATCGGTAGGGCTGTCGCGGTGAAGGAATTTCCCTTGCGGTAATTTTGAGTGGCTCAATAGCGCGATATGCGGTATTACCGCCATTTATTTATTTATATTTATTTGTTGCTATAAATACGTGTTATGATGTGGTCAGCATACACAAAACCAATGTAACCGAAACTAAACAGTGTCTCTGCGCATTGAAAGACTGTCACTCAGCGCGCAGTTACATTGTTATGAGTCACGTTCATTCAACGAAAACGTTCAAAAAAGCTGATTCCTTAAATGATAGATGTAATGAAACAAGGCGTTAATTATTTTTTTTTTAACTTTGAGCTCCACTTTTCAAGGCTCAGCTGGCCAGCAATGCTTCACTTTTGGGCAAAGCTGAAGCTGCTTCACTTAATAGAGACCAATGCGTGACTCGCTGCTCTCCCCCCACGGCTTCCTCGCGCTGTGTAATGCTGACCAGCGCTGGCGCCATTCATGGTAAATAGCCTACCCTTACACGTTAAAAGGATGATACAAATATTTCGCTTTCCTTGGAAACGGCAACCTTTTCACGAATATACATGACTTGACTTCAAAGACAGACGCAGGTAATCGCACGCGCTCAGGCGATCTCATTCACTGTCTGTTTAGGCTTAAGTCCAAATCAAAATTTACAAAATATGTAAAGGGTGATTCCGCCAGAATCAGAATTGGGAACCAGTGTTCTAAAAGAAGTGTTCTACCAAAGTCAAAGATAATACATAGTTTTGTCTATTGTTTGTGTATGGAGAACAAATTATACTATCATAATATTCTGTATTCTTCCTTTTTTTCTAGCAATCCTTTCTGGCCAGGCCATGAGTGACAGTTCGTTCAGTCCAGAAGCGTCAGTGCTGATTCCTCCTGGAGCAGAACCGCTGAGCAGCACACGACTGTCCTCGTTTTCCAGACACAGTGGAAAACCTTTGAACAGAGAAAGTCAGGCTTTCTGGCTCTCAGATATGTCAGATCTCGAGTCACATGATTCTCATATTTGGAATAATGGTGAAATTTGTAAAGAGTTACCCATATTGTCTAGTACTTGTCTTTCTGTCGTGGACAATAAGGCCAATCCAGAGTTAAAATCTGAAAATCAGCATCAAGCCACAGATAGTGACTGTGATGTTTTGCAGTCTCAGAATATCCCTGTTCGTTCTCAACAGGAAAACCGGAGGAGTGTCACCTTCAGAGGAACTATTGATTATTTGCCCATTATCGGACAAAATGATCATCTGCAGTTCTCTCTCGATCAGTCTAGTGATCTTACATTAGATCTTTCTGAATACCCTGATTTCCTAGATAATAAACGAATGGCTACTGTGTTACAGAATCAGGGAATCGATGTCACGTGTCCCGATGATGTATTCATTTTTTCCAAAGAAGTCGACACATTGGAAGATGAATTTGATAAGACTGTTGTGGGGCCTGTACCACATGATGATGATGATGATAACGATGATGATGAATTTAAGAGCATCATCCAGCCCCTCATTAGTAGTGGCTCTAGCGAGTACAATAGCTGTGGCAGTGAACCATACCAGAGCCCAACTGAAGGTTCTGTGGAAAATGGGTTTACCAGTACTAAAGACAATGGAAATTCTCCTTTGACCAAACCCTGGGCCCAGAAATCCGAATCGACTGTAGGACAGAGTGGGTTAGTTTTTAGTGTTAAAGATGTACGCCTTTCCTTTGTTGGAGATGGAAACAGACACCTGCCAGTAGGAGTCAGGAGTCATATTGAAGAAGCGAGTTTATCTGCAATTGGCGGAAATGCTGGTAAAGTTGAGGTGGCCAGTAATGAAACTGATATTCCAAGTCCATTTGTCACTGGGAGAACAAGGTCCAGATTGAGTCGTCATTCAGAGAGAATAAGCCAAAAACTGGCCTCCTTACAAACCAGCTCTTGCCTCTTTGAACAGACGCTACCCACTGTTACCCGTTTGCGACGCAACACAGTCAAGTCACCATATGGTACATCAAAGCACAATCTTGACGAAGACTGCTTCAATGGAGAAAGCATAATGGAGGATGTTGACTCGCAGTTGAGCTCTCTGAAGTTATCTGTGAGCTCAGATGGCCAAAGCCAAGCTGACACACACATGTTATCCGAGAGCATGGCTGACACCGTCTTAATTTCTGAAAGGAGTGTTGAATCACAGTTGGAAACGAGTGCCAGTGAGTATGGTAATAAGGTAATCACTCCTGTTTTTTACAAAGGGTTAGTAGACCATTTGACTGATGTACAAGAAGTGAAGCAAACCACAACAGAAACGTCACAGTTCATCCCTACTGCTGTAGGAAACAAAGAGTCCTGTGTTACATGTGGACTTACTTCTCAAGGGTCTTTGCCATTTCAGGTAAATAACTCAGAATCTCCTTCCAGTTTGACGTATGAATCCCCAAAAGCACAGAAGAATCCATGTGCTTATTCAGGGCGCTCTGGATGTACACCTCGGTATAGCATGAGCCGACTGTCAGTCCACTCGTCGCGACAGACACTGGCAAACCTTTCTTGCACACTTGGTGGACAGCCTTTAACTACTGATACCGATGAACTTGTGGAATACCTTTATACTGACACTGAAGAGGGCCATGAGCTCATTGAGACCCATGTTCCTCCAACAGCCAATACCTCCTTCAGTTCTAGCATAAGCACCAGTAACTCTGAAGACACACTTCTTTATGATTGGCGCTCGCTTCAGCTCGGGTCTACAAGTCCAGGCCTCAACACAGAAAGCTGTCGTCCCAAACAGGATGATGTTGGAGTAAGTGGCTTAACCGACAAGGAACTCAGAAACAAGTTAATTGAGATGGGAGAAGATCCAGGACCCATAAACAGTCAAACCCGCCCACTGTACGTGCAGAAGTTGAAGAGATCCCTTCAGAACCCCAGAATCCCTCTGAGCCCCACTAATTTCAGTGGTAAGTACACAAAATAAAATGCATAACATGACATAAAGCCAAGGTACTCAACAGGTGGCCATCTGGCCCATGCAGGGCTCCAGACTGCGACCAATTGGTCATATTTTGTGACCATTTTTCCTGCCGGTGCGACCTTTATTTAGGTTGCGTTGTTGCGACCACAACGTTGCTGAGCAGTGAATGCAAACAAAATGAAAGCGGAATGAAAATGCCCTACTCATTTATGCTTCACGGACCATTTATTAGTTCGGACCAATAATAGACAGCGCAGCGCCCCAAACTTGCCAGTCGCAGGCCGATCTCGTTCACGCAACACTGTTACTAGGAGATCCAGACTCTGGAGATCCAGTGAAGAAATCCATTGAATTCGCCTCAGAATTAATAACATCATCGCTGTGAGATCCAGTGAGAAACATTCTGATTTGGCGCAGAGTTCTCTGTTATAAACCATAGATATTAGATCAAACAGCGCTGACGTGGAAACCAGGAGAAACACTTATAGAAGGCCTTCAGTCCACAAATCAGCAACATTCACCATGGATGTAGGCTAATGTAGTAACTCTAACCATAACTATGGTATTGTGACAGAAATAGTCAAACGCTTACAAGTACTAGGCTACACATCTTTTTCCAGCACTTCAAAACTATAATAATATCATACATAAATGTTATTTTTAATATGATGACAACACATTTTTTGTTCATCCTTCAAAGATTGTCCTAAAACAATTTTTTAAAAGATTTTAAGGAAAACTCTTATTTAAACACTTATTTGAAATAAATAAATAAATAAAAATTACCATTGTAAACAGTAGAATGCTTTTTGACTATTTTCACTCACTAATATAATTTTTTTTCACTCGTTTTGCTTTTTAAGTAATATTAAGACATTATGAATGATAATAATTAAAGTTAATTTCATCTACACCCTAAATTAAGCTTAGAGCTTTATAATTTGTCAGTCCCAGTCCTACCACATATTTTTGTCTGTGCTGCTGCCCTCAAATGTTAGTCTGGAGCCCTGTGAACTTAAAGTTACTTGGGCCTTAAAAGTTGAGTTCCTCTGGAATAAAGAGTACATGATCAATATTAGCATATAAATCTCTTACTTTATCATGCATTTCTTTCTAAGCTGCAGGTTACAGCCCAGAACTCGAAAATGCACTTCACAGATTCCTGCTTCCTAACTGTCAAGCTGATGAGCTCGCTCTGTGTGAGCAGTTTGATAAGCCAGATCAGAATAAGAGATGGCGTGAGGGTTTCATTAAGTCCAGCTTTAACTACCTGCTGCTTGACCCACGGCATGTATTTTCTTTTACATTTTGTTGCCTTTATTTGAACAATGACTGTTTCTTTTTATTGTTTACTAACATTTTCTCCCACTGCTGTTTTATAGAGTGACAAAGAATCTACCATATCGAAGTCAATCCATGATCCCTAAAGAATGTTTTCAGACATTCATCAATGCGGTTTTCTATGTTGGGAAGGGCAAGCGTTCTAGACCTTACAGTCACCTCTACGAAGCTCTGGAATATTTCAAAGGAGACAAGACCTCCAAGGTCAGATGTGTCCTTATTTGATCATTCTTTATGTGTGATTTTTAGACAATGATGAATGAAGAGAAAAATCTTTTTAAAGATGTACACTACCTGTTACGATCTTTAAAGATCTAGGGAATGGAACGTAACATCACTGCTGGTAGAATGGAATGAGCAGAAATAACCATGAATACATTGGTATCATTGCCAAAAGTCAGTCATTTTTTCACAAAAGCCAAAGCCACTAGTTACAGTGCATGAGCTATTTACAATGTGGTAAAGACAAATAAAGAAAGGGAAAAAGGAAACACAAATAACGTTGGGAAAAGGAATCTGACTGGTACCAAGTTACAGAACCAAATAAAAGCCAAATAATTCCCTTAAAGCTACTCCTCATGCTCTCTAAACTACCGAAAGAAATATGTTAAAAATAAACCGAATTGTTCGGTGTACTGTATGTGATGCCCTAAATATCCTACTCTAGCTATAGAAAACAAAAATACAAGGTGGCGCACACTCCTTACCTAGTGTGTCTAACACTTGACCTTACAGACATTCTGTATCTAGCACTGTGTATATCGCACATCTGCTTACCTGTTCTCTTTTCCACCACAAAGGAACAACAACCTCCGTCAAATAGCGGCATAAAGCCCAGACAATAAAGTTATGAGTGCTAGATTCACAGAATGGGATACGATAACAAATTATGACAAAAGGTACAGAACTCAAGTCAAGTCACCTTTATTTATATAGTGCTTTTTACAATACAGATTGTTTCAAAGCAGCTTTACAGAGATAACAGGAAAATGATGTTGAAATAATATTGTTAAATGTAAAATTAAATGTCCCCAACTAAGCAAGCCAAAAGCCAATGGCGACAAAGGCAAAGAAAGGCGAAAAAGGCGACAGTGGTAAGGAACCAAAACTCCATCAGGTGACAGAATGGAGAAAAAAACCTTGGGAGAACCCAGGCTCAGTTGCTCAGTTCTCCTCTGGCCAACGAACCAACAGTGTGTGATTATGATCAGGCAGCATTACAGGTCAGAGGTCAGATTGGATCGGAACATTCACAATATTTATCCAGTTCCTCTGGTTGGAGGTCGGAGTCACGCCGGTATGGAGACGAGATGTAGAGGTGTCCATGAGGCCTTCACAGTGCTGATGAGGCTGCACTGCAGGGATGAGATGTGGACGTGTGCAGGCGCAGGTCCAACGGCTGATCTGGATACGGCCCGGATCCGGCTGACTTCAGTAAACCTCGAAATAAACAGAAAGACTAAAATTAGCGTAGATGCCATTCTTCTTATGACTTAACAAGTACATCAGGTGTTATAGGAAGTGTTCCCGGTTCCGGCTGACCTAATCTATGCAGCCTAATAATCATTTAACTGTTTTGAATAATAGGAATTTATAGTGAACTCTAGCGGCTGCATTTTGGACCAGCTGTAGTTTGTTTATTAAGCGTGCAGGGCAACCACCCAGTAGAGCATTACAATAATCTAGCCTTGAGGTCATGAACGCATGAACAAGTTGTTCTACATTTGTCATTGAGAGCATATGATGTAATTTATATTTTTAAAATGGAAAAATGCGGTTTTACAGATACTAGACACGCGATTTTCAAATGAAAGATTGTTTTCAAAGAGCACACACACACACACACACACACAGGTTCCTAACCGACGACGGAGACTTGACAGAGCAGCCATCAAGTGTTAGACAGTATTCTAGGTTATTACGTGAGGAAGTTTTTTGTGCATTAATTAGAATCTCTGTTTTTTCAGAAGTAAGTAGTAGGAAATTACTAGTCATCCAGTTTTTTATATCAGCTATGCATTCCGTTAATTTTGTAGATTGGTTAGTTCTGTCATCCTAACTCAAACCACTTAACACACATACTGCTCCACCACACGAGGCACGCCAGAAGGCTTTAAACCAGCAGGGCTGCAGCGGATTGGACGCAGAGAAGACGACTGATGATGACTGACAGGTGACACGTGACCTGAGAGCAAGATAGTGGACTGAGAGAGAAATAGTCAAGTCCCCTTCATTTATAAAGCGCTTTTAACAGTAGGGATTGTTTCAAAACAGCTTTACAGTTCTAATAGAAATTACCGTAACAGATTGTTTAGGCTTTACAACAGCATTAGGATAAATTTATTGTCCAGCTAAAGTTAGTTTTGATTGATTCACTTCCGTTGTGAAGATCATTAGTTATTAACTTAGGGGCCGCAAACACGACACCGCTCTAACAGAAAAACTCTTAACGCGCTCCGGCCGCCCATCCACAAAAAACTGCCTGGTGTCTCGAGAACGCACTCCCTGAAATTGGTTCGAAGGTGCAAACGATTATCCGTTATCTCTGTGCTAAACTTGTAAACGCAGATGGCGCGCACATGCGTATTACGTGTTCAGTCCATAGGTATGTGCGTTTGAATATATATGTGCGCAGGCGTGTAGTCCTTCTTCACAAATCAACCCTCAACAAACTACTTGTCTGGTCTTAAAAATGTATAATACAGAAATTTCTGTCGCGTCTGCGTAGCTATGCGAACCGGAATTATCCCGACAACGTTTTATCTGAACAGAGGAAAAGAGAGGGAGGCCTTCACAGGGAGAGATATAGTGAGAGACGGAGGGAAAAGCACAATAGAAGCATGAACGTAACACTACCATTCAAAAGCTGTATTTAAACAAAACAATAATATTGTGAATTTATATTATTATTATTAATAGTATTCATTTTGAAATGTAATTATTTAAATTTAAATTATTACATTTAATTTTATCTGTAATGGAAAAGGCCCATTTTCAGCATGGCTTGAGGGCTTTCTCTTTAAAACACGCCAAAGGTGTTCTTTTGGATCCAAGCCAGGCTAGGTCATATCTTTTCTTTAAAAACTCTTGCATGATTTTGTCAGTGTGACTTGGATCATAATGAATATTCCTTCTCTGCCAGAAAATCTGTCTGGAGATTGGGAGTCACCTTGTCAACAGTAATTTAGTCTGGCATTGATGGTGCATCTATAAAAGTCATCTTCCCAACACTGCTTGCAACCATGCTGCTCAATATCAAAACTTTATTTATCTGAAGCATTTATCATAAGGCCCTTTTCATTGTCATTATTTATTTGAATAATATGTGTAGCCTTTTAAACATTGGTACAGTATGTCAGAATGGGCTGTCTGTATGATTACTCAGGCTTGCAGTTTAACACAGTTTTATTATTCATACCACAATGGTGAATAGGTGTGTCTATAAAGGTTATCATATATATCATCTTGAAAAAGTCTCTATTTTAAATTCACAGCAATATATTAAATAATTTCTATAATAAAAAATTATATAAAACTACCGTAGTTATACAAAGGAACCAGATCTATGCATTTATTTTGAAACTGAGAGAAAAAGATTAGGCTTAAAATATATCTTATCCTGTGATTCCCTCTTGTGGGCAACATTAATGTCACAGTCTTCTTCTTTCTGAAATGGCTGGTAGTTTAGACTAGCGCTTCTCAAACCTGTCCTGGAGGAGCCCAGCACTGCACATTTTGTGTGTCTCTCTTATCAGACACACTTAATTCCGTTCTTGCAATCTCCACTATTGTGGTAATGAGTTGAATCAGGTGTTTTAGATGAGGGAGACATTCAAAATGTGAAGTGCTGGGCTCCTCCAGGACACGTGCGAAAACTGCTGGTTTACTGAATCAAAATTCTTTTGATATCTTTTTGCCAGCATGGTCTAGAGTTGATGTGTGCGAAGTTGGGTGGAGATCTAACTAATTGTCTAAGTGTTTTTCAGATAATTAGAAAGGCAGATACATTTTATAGAAACACATTAAAATGATATATACACTTGTTAGCCATTAAAACTAAAATTCAGAAGAAACAAGAATTTTGAAACTATTATACATGCACTATATGTTGTGGAGTAATCACATTTGGGTTGTATAACAATTTCGGGATGGAATAGATTCAATTTAGGCTTTTATTAATATATAATTATTGACTGATGCTGCTACATAGAAATATGAAAGCTCAGCTCAAAAACAGAAGGTCAGCCGTTCTTGCGTGACGTGAGGACAAATCTCATCGGTGCACCAGCGCAAATAGAAAGTGCTGCTGTTTAAAGTGCTTCCCTGAACTGATGGCTGAAGTAGCTCCATGTCTGGGCTGTTGTCGGAGCATTGACCAGGGAGAGTGTTGGGGGGAACAGGCCTACTTTTCTTAAAGAAAAAACTCTGTCTATTTCTTTTCATTGTTCATCGTCTGTGTTTTTGCGTTTATTTTCCTGATGCTGATTGCCGTGGCCTAGTTTACACTGGAGGTCTTGATGCCCAATTCTGATTTGTTGCCTATTTTTTACCGTCCGTTTACACGTTCTTTAAATTGTGACCCATGTCAGATTCATGTGTTTACACTTGACATAGATCTGAAACATCGCGCATGTTTAAAGGGGGTTCTTGCACAGATGGACGAGCGCGCAGCGAGAGAGATCTCAGGACTGGTGGGAACATACAACACGATCTCATGAAAGTGCGTATCTATAGCACAAATTTGATTTCTCGTGCCATTTATATGCCTAAAATAGTTGTTGCATGCATATGATACGCACTGTAAACGTGCGTATTAAACGCCATAAAGTGCGTATCATATGGACGCAAAAGCTATTTTTGCCGTAAAGGGCACAATAAATAAAGTTTGTGCAATAGACACACTTTCATGAGATCGTGGCGGGCTTTAACGAGGAGCAGTGGGGTCCGAAATTTTAGGATGAGCAAGCCAACCTTTGATATGTTGTCAACGTTAGTCCACATTCCTCTCCTACGACGACACAACGTTTCTTCGGGCCATCCGTCCCTTTGCAGATGCGCATCGGAGTTTCTCTCGTCATTAAACCGCGGAGACGCAGCCTAATGCCTCAGAAAATCCGATCTGCCTGTTTACATGACAGTCGCATTGGCACATAGTTATTAACACATATGAATGAGGCCTGAAACCGATCTCGAAATATCCGAATGCATGCTTTTTTTCCTGTTTACACGGTCATAGAACACATCCGATCTATCACATATGAGCAAAAAATCGGAATTGGGACACTTTTCACTGACAGTTTAAACGAGGCCTGATTCTCTGGTGCTCAGGTCGCAATTTCAATCACACAGCACGGAGCACGAGCAGTGTAGGCCTACAGGAATATCTGGACCACAGCCAATCAGAGGCAAAGACCCGCCCCATCACTGTCTCTGATTGGTTTAGACCACGATAGGATCCAACCATGAGTGTGAGTTCCGTCAAAGGAGAACAAGCGCTTAGTTTGTGGAGAGGCAGCGGATGCGAGGACGTTAGGTGCACCGGTGCTACCTAGGAAAAATTTTAGTCGCACCCTTACAAATTTTGGTTGCATGTGCGACATGGTTCTTAATATTAATCATAAATTCTATGATGGTATTTTTCTCTCATGTCTCCAGAAACTCTGCTCAAAAGTGCAGCACATCCTGCAGGTCTGGAACGCTGGGCACGGAGTAATATCTCTGCACTGTTTCCAAAACGTCATTGCTGTGGAAGCGTACACGCGTGAGGCTTGTATGGTGGATGCCATTGGTAAAGAGATCTGAAATTGACTGCTTGGATAGTTATAAATGTTTTTGCAAACACATTTCCATCTTACTGTAATAATTGTTAATTGTTGTCATGTTGATCTTCCATCAGGGCTGAAGATGCTCACAAACCAGAAAAGAGGAGACTACTATGGTGTTGTGTCAACTTGGTCTGTGCGGAGAAAACGGGAGTTAGGTGTTCATCTGCTTTATCGGGCGATGCAGATCTTCTTAGCTGAAGGAGAACGACAGCTCCGACCCGCCGACATCCGATGAACCATAGACACTGTGGCATTACAGAAACCATAATAGTGAAGCATATGCATACGCTTTTGTTCACTATTTCAATAACACTGACATATTGCTTACATATCAGCATGTTATCATTTAATGAGGACCAGCTACTGTTCAGTAAATAAAAAATACAAACCACAGAATATCAGCTGTTCAAATTCCAAATTTTAATAAATGTTTATTTAAAAAAAATAAAAAATTGTAAACTCATTGCAATGGTTATTCCACTATTAAAAAACCAGCAGCATGCTGTGGTGGATTATTGCAAATGTCATTACATAAATCATTTTGACAGTTTTTAAATCCTTATCCATTTTGTGAAATTAGGTCTTAGATATAAATCTGTAATATTTGTATTTTTTAGTTTTTATATGACGTGTGTTAGAGCTGATTGTTAGCTGATTAAGCTAGTTGTTTTTACTTCATTACGTAAATAAAAAAGTGAAAGAATATTTCTGAGTTGATTAATGGAAGACAGAAAAAAATAATTTGCTTTATCCTAAGTGTCTTACATTTATTTTAATGTATGTATATTTTTTATCATTTCATGTTTTCTCTGGTAAATAAAAACCTATGACTGGCTATGCTATCACCATATTTTACTCTTTGAGCAACATTGCTGTTGAATATCATTGTTCTTAAATAGATTGTGTCGCATACATTTGTACAAAAACTATATATTATATCTGACTTAAGGTCAAGTCATCTTTATTTATTAAGCACTTTTTAACAGTATGGATTGTTTCAAAGCAGCTTTACAGTTATAATCGAAATTACTGTAACAGATTGTTTGGGCTTTACAACAGCATTAGGATAAAGTTATTCTCCAGCTAAAGGTAGTTTTGATTGATTCAGATCTGAATACGGCCTGGATCCGGCAGACTGCGGTAAACCTCGGGATAAACAGAGAGACTAATATTAGCATAGACGCCATCCTTCTTATGATGTAACGAGTACATCAGGATTTAAGGGAAGTGTTCCCAGTTCCGGCTGACCTAATCTATGCAGCCTAACATTGAATTATAGAAGTCTATAGTGTGTTATGTGTATGCTAGGCCAAAGAGATGTGTTTTTAGTCTAGCTTTGAACTGACAGAGTGTGTCTGCTTCCCGGACAATGGTAGGAAGACTGTTCCAGAGTTTTGGTGCTAAATAGGAAAAGGATCTCCCGCCAGCAGTCGATTTAGATATTCTAGGTATTATCAACTGGCCGGAATTTTGAGATCGCAATAGACGTGAAGGACTATAATGCGTTAAGAGCTCGCTCAAGTACTGCGGAGCAGTACCTAGGGTTTTGTTTATTTTCTTCTAATAGGGTTGAAAAATAAGCAGATCTAGCAGCTTTTAAGGCCTCTCTGTATGCAATTGTGCTCTCTTTCCATGAAATGCGAAATACCTCTAGTTTTGTTTTCTTCCAATTGCGCTCCATTATTCTGGCTGCTCTCTTTAGGACCTGAGTGTGCTCGTTGTTAGGGCAGGCTCTAGCCCTTTGGTTGCCCTAGGCGAGATTGAGTTTTGCGCCCAATGAGTGAAGGGTTAGGGTTAGGGTTAGGTCTAGTATTTATTAAACTAAACAAAAATGCTCTTATAGTCACTCCAAAACTTCAACAAGCTAATTTTGACTTGAAGGATCAACTGTAATATATTGTTCAGCCAAATGCTACAAATCATCCTACATAGTTGCATTGTACAAATACATTTTATCTGACCATGTAACTTGTAGTAGATAAATTACAATTACTACCACCACTACTATTATTACTAATCTATTAGGCTGCTACAAGGCTAAGGGGGTTTCGGGGGTATGCCCCCCCATAAGAAAATTGTGTGCATTTTAATGTTAAATTCATCATTCTGGTGCACTTTGAGAGTTCAAAATTAAAAGCTCCGACCCACATTTATTGTGCAAATTGAACAAAGAAAAATTAAAAGTTACCTCTTCTAGTTACAGTGTCTGTCTACCTTACACTACTACATAATAATAGTTATAATATTAATCCCATGACAGTAATAGCCATAGGCTATATTGTAAAACAAATGCACTGAAAAATAAAGGAAACTTTCATAATTAGTTTTTTTACAAATTTCTATACTTGAAAGTAAGTTATGTACTTGGAAGTAACCCAGCGCCGCCAATTAAGCAAAAGAAAACGAATGGGCCGCCAATGTACGAGTTTTATGGGCCGTTAAGACAAAAAAAAAAAAAAAGTATGAGATTATAGACTTCTATAAATTCAATGTTAGGCTGCATAGATTAGGTCAGCCGGAACTGGGAACACTTCCCTTAAATCTTGATGTACTCGCTACATCATAAGAAGAATGGCATCTACGCTAATATTAGTGTCTTTGTTTATCCCGAGGTTTTCCTGCAGCCTGCCGGATCCAGGCCGTGTCCAGATCTGACGAAGGAGATTCGCCTGGACCCGATGACAATGCAGTGCTGAAGTATCCACTATCCTCTCCCTATGGAGGATCCCTTTCCCACTCTACAGATAAAGCGCTGTGAATTCCGGCTCGCGTACCCCGAAGTGATAAAATAAAACAAAATTCTGTATCAAAATTTATAGGCAAGAAAAGTAGTTTGTTTAGGCTGGGTTGTATGAATTACAAACCTGCGCACATATTTTAAAAAGCACATAACTATAGAATTCTGAATGAGCATGTGAACGCCGTCAGCGTTAATCACAGGTTCGCGTTTAAAGTCTGATCATTTCGACGGAGGTGAATCAATCAAAGTTAACTTTAGCTGGAAGTAACATTATTCAAGAACCGCTATAACGCCAAAACAATCTGTTACCTTAAATTATATGTTTATCTCTGTAAAACTGCTGTGAAATAATTCATTGTTAAAAGTGCTATATAAATGAAGATGACTTGACTTGACTAGATGTATTGGCCCAAAAAGCACGTCTGCCCACCGGGATTCTCTCGGTATCCCCGATGGCCAGTTCATGCCTGTGCACAATACTAAGTAAATTTATTTCGTTTGACACCTTAATGGCTGAGATGAGAAGACTTACCTCTATACAGGGCTTTCTTTTTATCTTGTTGCTTTCTCCGTTTTTGTCCCTGTGCACCAGAGGGTTTAGACCACTTCATTTTCAATCAACGCGCCAGCAGCTGAGCACTTGCCTAACGTAACGCAACCCCCCCCCCCCCCTCCTCTTAGAAAATGATCGACAATAATCATCAATGCAATCGCCTAGTCCTGCCTATAGCAATCGCCGGCCCTGCTCGTTGTACCGCGGCGTTGGACTATTTTCTTTAATCTTCTTTAAGCGCAACGGAGCAACTGCGTCTAAAGTGCTGGAAAAAAAGAGTTAAAAGTTTCTGTCGCAATATCGAGTACTTCTAAGCTGTCTGGGATGCTGAGATGATGAAACTGATCAGGAAGATTATTTATAAAGCAATCTTTAGTGGCAGAAGTGATAGGTCTAACATATTTATAACACAGAGTCGGCTTTGCAGCCTTGGCTAAATCAAGTTTACACGAGACTAGATAATGATCTGAGATGTCGTCGCTCTGCTGCAGAATTTCAACGGCATCAACATCTATTCCATGAGATAATAATATTAGATCTAGAGCAGGGGTCTCCAACCTTTTTTCATTTGAGAGCTACTTTTTAAAAATGAAAGTGGCCGAGAGCTACTCATGTAATACAATACTTAAATCTCTTAAATAATGTCTCATAACTCATATTAACAGCTATCCAAACTGTTTTAGACCTAAAAGAGTTTTTGTAGGCCTATATATGTCACCCTTAAATGTCAGAGAAAAGAACATAATCCGAGATTAATTTTTTTTATAGAAAATTGTACTTTGCATATTATTATATTAGATTATTATTATACTGTAATAGTTGATTTTATAGTGCATCATAACTAGAGATGAAATGGCATGAAAAGTTCCTTTCATACTACTAAATAAAATCAGTTCACCAAGTTATATGTTGAAAACCAGCAAATAACAAAAAAATAGCATCAATATGCACTTTTTGTTTAAATAAACATTAAAATAATATTAAAAATGATGGCCAGATTTTAAAGGAGTGTCTTGCAACATGTTATCTACTAACATGTACAAGTTCAAATAAAGTTTTGACAAAAAAGGTTTTTATAAAAAGATAAACCTCACATATTTCAGCCTTTAAATCATTTTTATAAAAAGAATGAGTCAAAAAAGATAAATTACAGACATTTACAATGCACATTAGCTTATCTTTTATTATTAATAGTAAAATTCGGTCCGATTTTCCCGTGGCGTCTGTCGTTGCTATGCAACCATATGCTCTCCACAACAAAGAAGTTTAAGTAGCTAATGGATTTCCACTACCGAAAAACGCTTGCTGTAGCTCTGCTACAACATTTATTTACGGAGAAGAGAAAAACACCCGTAGTGTTTGGGTGCACCCCCATCCTTCATGTTGACTGAGCTTTCAATGTTGTTACGGAAAGGGTGAAGCTGATGGTTGGTTCTTGTCACATGACCTGCGGTGCGCTCGCGACATTTTGAAAAGTTGAGGTGTTTTCATCTCGCTGCACCTGGAAAAAATGAGCACTTCGCTTCAATTATGAGCGCGCTTGCCCAAGCGCCTACATTTGAAATAACGAACTTGAGCGCGCAAAAGACGCGGTATGTGAACGGCCCGTTGGCGAGCTACCTCCAATCAGGCCACGAGCTACGTGTTGGAGACCCCTGATCTAGAGTATGATAACGACAATGAGTAGGTCCTGACACGTGTTGTCTAACTCCAATAGAGTTAAGAATGTCTTTAATTGCCTATCCCAATGTATCTTTTTCATTGTCTACATGTATATTAAAATCACCAACAATTAGGACTTTATCTGCAGGCAGTACTAACTCTGATATAAAGCCAGCAGATTCTTTGATAAAGTCTGTATGGTGCCCTGGTGGCCGGTATACAGTAGCCAGTACAAATCTCAGACGGGATTCATCATTTACACTAGAATAGATAGTGTTACATTAAGCACCAACACTTCAAAAGAATTATATTTGAAACTAGACTTCTCAGTAATTCTGAATATATTACTATAAATTACAGCAACACCTCCCCCTTTGCCTTTCAGACGAGGTTCATGTTTATAAGAGTAATCTTGTGGGGTTGACTCATTTAAAGTAATGTAATCGTTTGGTTTTAACCAGGTTTCTGTCAAACACAGCACATCTAGGTTATAGTCTGAAATCATATCATTAACAATAAGTATGTCACAGTCTACTAAAGGACGAGGATACGGAAGTAGAATACACACTGTTTATTTGACACGTAAAGCAAGCTCCAAGACAACAGAAGACATAAGATCCAATCAGAGGTACTCAGCACACTGGATATACTTTACTGGAACAGTCCTGGGTACAGATCAAACACCAGATGATTCGCGAAGTTTCCAGATCAAAGGAAGCACTGGTGAATGAAGCTGGGTGATTCAAGGGC